CAAACGGGGTCTGATGATGAAATCGGCTGATCTTCCGCTAGGGATTGACACGTTCACAACACACGACAAACTCCTGAAAAACTGGGAAGGGAGGAGTCTGCGCTGGAAGCAAACTTGCGAGGCTTTCATGAAGTCGCCCCTTAGCGACCGAACGGTGCCGCTAACGAGAGAGGTGGTGGAGCAGGAGAGGCTGGTTTTCAATAAAAAAAAAATTGGTCGGAGTGGTCGCGCCAGTGGGCGGACAGAAACACGCGAAGGCACTGTGGAATACCAGGCTGGGTGATCTGGTGAAGCAGCAGCCGGACGGAACCTGGGAGAAAAAGTCCGTGGAGGAGCTGACAAGGGAACTGGGCGACAAAGGGCCTGCTAAGCTCGTGCTGAAGGCTTTCGAGGTGGCCCCTTCAAAATGGAGAGGAATCCTGCTGACCCCTGGGAAGAGCTCGGCTGCCTCGGCGCCTACAGCAGCGCAAAAGCTTCCGCAAGTGCCCCTGCTCGAGGACGGAAGGGTGATCCCCTTAGCAAAGATGAAGAGCTACTAGAAAGGGGATAAGCTTCAGTCGCAGAGGAGGCTAAAGTGGGCGGAAAGATGGCGGGGGCGGATCAGCTGGAAAGAGCGACGGGCATCAGGGAATCTCTCGTCACACCGAGCAGACCCAGAGACATGCTTACCCGGATTCATAATTTCAACCTCCAAGTCAGGGAGAGGCTGGCGTTTCTTAGCAGCAAACCCTTGTGCCCGCATTGTTCCGAGGAGGAAACGTTGGAACACTGTCTTTACACCTGCCCCAAAATTCAAGTGGTGGTATCGGCTCTGAAGCAGGAGCTATATATGATTAACCCCCAGCGCACGGTGTTCAATCTGGGGGATCTTTTGTTCCGGAAGGCCGGGTCCTGCTCGGTGTTTCCAGAAGCGACGCTGATTGCTATCACGCTGCATGAGCTCTGGTTGGAGAGGTGTGATGCGGTGGTCCGGGACAAGAAGTTCAGGACAGGCCGAGTGCTGAGGCGGATTATTTTCGCTTTCCGGCAGCATGTAAGGGTCTACATCAAGGCAAGGGAGGTGACGTGTCGGAAAAGGAGGAAGGCTGGTCACAAGGACAAGTTGCAACGCTGGATGGCGGAAGAGCAGAAGCTGTTGGATCAGATCAAGACATCTGGTGATAAGAAGCTGACATGGATCAGGCCGTTTGAAGCAATTTGGACCAACCCTCGCATGATTCATCATCCTCCTTAGAAGCTCATCTGGGGCAGCCGACCCTGTCCCTCACGCGCAGTTACGACTGTCTTTGTTAGTGTGCACTTGCACCATCAGTGTATGCTTTCAATTACAATATACAAAAAAAAAAAAAAACGACTCACATTGCTCTCCGTTACTTCCTCACGCGAGAGCTGTAGTAGTGTGGTCAGCTTCGTCTTGCTTACGTGGCCACACGGGCCAACACTGTGTCAGAGGTCCACTGGTGATCCCCGATTGATCCTAGGGAAGGGTTACAGGCTCGTTGTCCTGGGGGGTTATGGGCGCACTGACCCGCTACTGAACAAGCCCTTTTATCCCAATGGTCTAGTGGTTGAGATTCTGACATGGTATTAGAGCGAAGGTCTCGGGTTTGAATCCCAGTGTGTGCACTTCGGGCATCCCAGTGCGGGGGGGTGTCAGAGGTCCACTGGTGATCCCCGATTGATCCTAGGGAAGGGTTACAGGCTTGTTGTCCTGGGGGGTTATGGGCGCACTGACCAGCTACTGAACAAGCCCTTTTATCCCAATGGTCTAGTGGTTGAGATTCTGACACACTGCTGATGTCCACACCAAGGCCCTTGGGTCTAGTGATCATCAGCGTTTCTGCACTGCTCTTGGGCTTGTGCCCACTCTGCCTCACTTGCTTGTCTCTTGATATTGCTCTTGTTGTACACTGATATATATGAGTATACCAGCATGCTTACACTTGCTAGGTTGTGATCAGTGTACTGCTCTTTGCTATTATAAACTCAGCATGTGAACTGGCCTTGTGGCCGCTTGCATGTGCTAAGAATGCGTGGTGATCTTGAGATCCACCCCGAGCTTTGCTTTGCTTTGTTCTCTTGCTTGACTGGTCTTGTGGCCGTTTGCTATCCCCCACTTTGTCTATGGGGGTGTGTCAAAATACAATTGCATGTCTGTAGGCTATAGTGGGGTAGCCCATATAGGGTACAACACTTCTAGGGTTGCCTACTTGTATTGCTCCCAAACCCTAATGCCATCATTCCTGTTTCCATATTCTAACAGAAACCCTAGTTAGGAAAAGGGTTTTTCCTTACACAAAACCTACAGCGCCATCTTCTCGTCATCGTAAAGGAATGCACACGTTCAATTCTGTTACATTCGTCGTTTTGCACATGCGGCCCTGTCAGAATTATATTCTTATACCTGCATGTAGTTCTAGCTGTAGTGTAGATATTAACTTTATAGGTGGTGCACCTCTTTGTTTGCTATATGTACCCTAGTGCTATAGTGAACACCCATTCTCCTCTCATCTCTCGACTCTCCCTCCTTGGCACAAACTAGCTCGACCCCCCTTTGGCCTAGGCTACTAAGCCTAGGCCCACTTAAACCTAACTACTTATCCCACTACCACGACATGGTATCAGAGCAACATAGGTCCTTAGGACCGTTTTAGGACTGTTTTTCAGGGCCCACCAACCGTTTTCCGCCGGTTACCGAGTTACCCCGCCCCTTGCCTACACTGCCCTGCGTCGCGCGGCCCTCGCGCTCGCCTCTGCTGGCCCTTGTACAGCCCGCTAGCAGCCCGCCTGCTGCCTCGTCAGCCCCGCGCGTAGCCCGCTAGCTGCCTTGTCAGGCCCGCGCACCGCCCCGCAGCCCCCGCGCTGCCTTCTCCTGCCCCGCGCGTCGCTTCGCAGCCCTCGCGCTGCTTTCTACGGCCGCCGACGCGGCCTCGCCCTGCCGCGGTCGCGGCCCCACCCTGCCGCCGACGCGGCCCCGCCTGACCTGCGCGCTGCCCCCCGTCGCCAGTCGCGGCGCCTGTGGGACCCGAGCGCTGCCCTGCACCAGCTACGCCGCCCCTGGTGCAGCCGCCCCTGGACCCTCGAGCAGCCGCCCCTGGACCCAGAGCAGCCGCCCCTGGCCCCTGAAGCAGCCGCCCCTGGTGCAGCCGCCCCTGGTGCAGCCGCCCCTGGACCCTCGAGCAGCCGCCCCTGGACCCAGAGCAGCCGCCCCTGGCCCCTGCAGCAGCCGCCCTTGGAGCAGCCGCCCCTGGACCCCGAGCAGCCGCCACCCTCCTGTGTCGATCCTGTTGATGGGCCCACCAAGTCTTCCGCTGCTGTCCTGCCTATCGCGCGCTGTTTTCCTCCCTGCCGCGCGCTCGTGGCGCGTGGCATTTTTTTTCTTCCCGCCGCGCGCTATGGGTGCGCGGCGGTTTTCTGCCCGTCGCGCCGCCCTGCTGAACGCGTGACGCCCTGCCTGCCCGTCGTGCGCCCCGAGGTGCGCGACGGTGCCCTGCCTGCCTGCCCGTCGTGCGCCCCGTGGCGCGCGACGGTGCCCTGCCTGCCCGTCGTGCGCCCCGTGGCGCGCGACGGTGCCCTGCCTGCCCGTCGTGCGCCCCGTGGCGCGCGACGGTGCCCTGCCCGTCGTGCGCCCCGAGGCGTGCGGCGGTTTCGTCGCCTGTTGCGGCGCACCGGGGGCCCACGCACCCCCCCCCCCCCCCCCCCCCCCCCGCCTTTTTCCGTCGCCCGTCGCGGCGCCCTGGGGGGCCGCGCGTCGGCCCCTCCCGTCTTCGTCGCGGCCCTGCCCTGCCCTGTCGTCCTGCCCCGGCCCTGTCCCGGCCCTGCCGTGCTGCCGCCCCTGCTACGGCCCTGCCCTGTGTTGGGGTTTGGGGGTGGCGAGGGTCTGGGGGTGGCGGGTGTGTGGGTGATGGGTGGTGTGTTTCCCTTCCCCTCCTCCTCCTTTCGTTCCCACTGCTGCAGCTGCCGCTGGGGGGGAGGGTGTGAGGGTGTGGGGGAGCCAGGGGAGTGGCATTGGGGTGGCGGGTGTGAGACCAACCAGCCCCCGTCCCTCTGAGGTGGGGGGGGGGGGAGGAGAGTAAAGGGGTGGCAGGAGTGCCTGCCCCTTTGCTGCTGTACCTGCTCTGTTACCTTGCCTGCTGTTGCTGTTTTCTCTATCTGTGGTGTACCCCTGCAGGTTGTGTTCTGCACTTAGCTATTCCTGCATGCAGTTACGGGGGGATGTCAGAATTATATTCTTATACCTGCATGTAGTTCTAGCTGTAGTGTAGATATTAACTTTATAGATGGTGCACCTCTTTGTTTGCTATATGTACCCTAGTGCTATAGTGAACACCCATTCTCCTCTCATCTCTCGACTCTCCCTCCTTGGCACAAACTAGCTCGACCCCCCTTTGGCCTAGGCTACTAAGCCTAGGCCCACTTAAACCTAACTACTTATCCCACTACCACGACAGGCCCAAGTAACTATCCGCTTTAATAACGTAGGCACTTGAATAATTTAATTAACAAATGAGCCAATCGGGAAGTGGACCCTTGGGCTTGCAATATGTGTTGACATCCCTGCTCGTAGAGTGCAGCAGCAGCAATAAACTTGCAAGACACAATGCAGTAGCATGCAGCATTGCTTGCTATTGTGTACGATGGCGGTCGATGTTACAGTGCATCAAGCAACATACCCCTGACTGGCTTTCGAAGAAAACTTCTGATCGTTCTGACAATGCAGAATGCAGAAACAATATGAACAGAGAGCAGATGGGGGATGTGATATGACACGACGCAGTAATGAGGGGCAAGGAAAGATGAAGGAAACGCAACAGTGCGATGCTGAGTGAGGCTGTGGCTTTGTGCGATGCAGGCTGTGGTGTCACGCCGGTTGAAGGGCAGATGAATGTAAAGTGCACATGAATGGCAGATGAACAACATGACGCGCAACATCAAGCAAATAAAGGACGTAAGGAGTCAATTGTAAGAGAGGCGTCGGACAAGGGTGCTTGTGAGAAGACTCAGGAAGTGAGAATGTGTGGGGCGAGGTGGGGACTTACAAAGGAGGAGTATGAAATCTTGTCTAAAATGCCACTGATCTCCTTGAGCTGCCTCCCGATGCTCACCTGCATGAGAGAGAGGGAGAGGGGGAGTGAGAGTAAGAGGCTAAGCTCAGCACCACAGAAGGATTCCGTCAGCACAGGCACCAAGGCATGGCCCCACCACCAGGAATGGTGGGCAGTCAGGACGGGCCACCATGGCAGCAAGCATGGTGCTCCAGCACGCCTTTCAGAGGTGTTGTGACTGGGATCGCCATAACGGCCCGCTACAGCGATGCTACAGTGCCGTCCAAGAGGTGTGAGTCGAGTCCCACAGCACAGCACAGCAGCAGCACTCTTTGTGAACATCAGCGACAGGCATAGAGCCAAGTCAACTCACTGCCTATCTATCACTCCCTGTCGTCTAGCGAAAATTGCGCATGGATAGAAATTAGTTGACCATTGCCACCCACCTGCACTGCCTCGTTGCTTGCAGTCTTGGTCCACAGCACAACTCGGTCCTTGTTGGGCCGAGCGTTCGCCGCCACACCACAGATGTCGCCCGCCTCTGTGAATTGCTCGCCTATCAGCGCCAGAAGCTGCAGAACAGGGGAGCACCGCCACACACAGTGGAGGAAAAGCAAGAAATGGGTGAGCTGTTGGTGTGAAAACAGAGAAAGTGGACATGAGCTCATAGGAGCTGCTAGCTCTCCCAAGGCGGGAGGCAGCGAGGCAACATGAGCTAGTATCATCCGGTTGATGGGTCGGCGAAGCGAGTCAATGATCAGCATTGTCGAGCCTGGCTGAGTTGGTTGGTAGCTCGTGAACGAGCCATGTGCAGCACCTCACCACGTTGAGCCACACTCACCACATTGAGCCACACTCACCACATTGAGCCACACTCACCACATTGAGCCACACTCACCACATTGAGCCACACTCACCACATTGAGCCACACTCACCACATTGAGCCACACTCACCACGTTGAGCCACACTCACCACATTGAGCCACACGTGGTCAAACATGTCTTTGGTGCGGCAGAAGACGGTCCAGGAGCCGCCCTTCTCGCACTGAGGGTCCTCCCACTTGGGCACGATGCCCTCCTTAAACAGATGCATGTCCATTCTGGGGGGCAGTGTTGCTGCCGATGTCACATTGTTGTACAGGCTGTGAGGCCAGGGGGGGATGGGGGAGGGGGGAGGGGAGTAGAAGATGGGCCAGGGGGGGAAGGGATGGAGTGGGAGTAGGGAGTAGGGAGTAGGGAGTAGGGAGTAGGGAGTAGGGAGTAGGGAGTAGGGAGTAGGGAGTAGGGAGTAGGGAGTAGGGAGTAGGGAGTAGGGAGTAGGGAGTAGGGAGTTGAGGCAGGAAAGGTCACCGAGCGTCGACTGAGGGTCCTCCCACCCACTTGGGCACGATGCCCTCCTTCAACAGATGCATGTCCATCCTGGGGGGCAGCGTTGCTGCTGACGTCACATTGTTGTACAGGCTGTGAGAGGGAAGGGGGAAAGGGGGAGGGGAGCAGGAGGGAGGGAGGGGGGAAGGAACGGGGAGAGAAGGAGGGGATGGAGGGAGGGTTGGGGTTGAGACAGGTTAGGTCATGGAGAAGGTTGCATTGCAGGGGAAAACAACATGTTGGTTGGTGTCCAGTCTGGAGATGAGAGGGTGGGTGAGAGACATTGCAAGATCAAAAGGAGGAGGGGAGTTAGAGATGAAGCGGATTTCAGAGCAAGTGTCAGATGAGTTTGAGAGAGAGGCACAGGTTGTGAAGGTAGAGACCAGGCATGGCAAGGAAGAAACAAGAGTAGAAAGTGCTTTGAACTTGTGTATGAAGCGATGAGAAGGCATACGGATACATGGTTTCAGCCCCACGACTCGCCCTCAATATCGGGACGACTCAAGCGTCGCACGGCAGGAAGTCGTAACGGTGCCGGGTGCCATGAAAGAACACGGTCCCTCCCGGGTCTTGCTCGAGCCTAGAGTGGAGTGAAGGCATTCCCACGCACGCTTCAAGGCGCGATGCGCCCTCAATCTCAACAACACTCAACCATGGCATCGCATCTCCACACGACTCACGCGTGGCATGGCCGGGCCGGCACCCCCGCACATCCAGAAGCCCTCGACGGTGCCGGAGGTTTGGACCTGCAGGCTGTCGCATGGATGTGGCCCACCCGCCACTCTTGTGTCACACATGCGTGGTGCTGAGAGAAGGCATACCGGCACATGCTTAGAGTGAAGCACAGACGGGGCTTTAAGGTGTGGTACAGCACATGGTAAGCGGGCTTCACCTCCAGAAGTCCTCAGCGGTGCCGAAGGAGTAGATGAGGCGCATGGATGTGCCCCACCCGCCACTCTTGCCGCGCTGGTGCGGGTTGTCAAACCACAGCGTCCACCGCTGCTGCAGCGGGTGCTTCACTGCCACTGCTGCCGCTGCCGCTGCCGCCGCCGCTGCTGCTGTCCCCGCTGCTCCTCCGGCTGCTTCTCCTCCCTCCTCCTCCTCTCCCTCTGCTCCTGCCGCTTCCCCCTTGGGCCCCCATGCTTCATCCGTGCCCTTCTCAGCTGCTGCCGCGCTCCCCTTGCCCTCTGCCTCGGGCCCCCCTTGCTCTGCAGCGCCTGGGCCTGTGGCGGGCTGTGCAGGCACGGCGGCAGAGGGTGGAGCGGGGGAGGGAGCGAGGGGGGCGGGGTCAACCGTCATGGCTGTGGGGAGAAGAGGGTGGTGCAGAGAGCGAGAGAGAAGATGAGCACATGAGCAACGGACGCATGAGAGAAGTGAGCACGCCGTACGTGCGGGTGGCCCTCCTAGAACTCAAAACACAACGCTGCACGCGTAGTGTGGCATTCTGCGAGAGCGGATGAGCGGGAGGGAATGAGAGGGCGGCGAATGAGAGGGCGGCGAATGAGAGGGCGACAAATGAGCGGGTGGGGGGGGGGGGAAGGGCGCGATCGAGCGGGCGGGGAATGAGTGGGCGAGGAACGAGCGGGCGGGGAATGAGCGGGCGGGGAATGAGCGGGCGGGGAATGAGCGGGCGCGAGAATCTTACAAGACGCAGAGGTGGTGCGACAGGGAGGGGCCACCAACCTGGTAGTGCGGAGTTTCGCAGAGCGGTCAGCAAGCGGGCTTCTGGACAACTTGCGCCTGCCGCGGAGGTGCCGCGCGAGGCTGGCGACGGCGGGCGGAGGGGACGTGCGAGGAGCGCGACGGTAAGGAGGAGGGGGCAGTCGCGAGTGCGGAGGGGCGAGAGCTAACGAGGGCGGTGGAGCGATAAGCGAGAGTGAATGTCGCGATGAATGCGCTGGTTGACAGGGAGGCGGTTTGCACAGCAACGGAAGCCTTGGTGCAATGCACATAAAGCTGCTTCGTTAACGTGTAAGATTCTTGTCTGCTTTACCGAGCTGAATTTGTGTAAGCTCTACACTTTCTTGCTTATTAACACAAGAGCCCTCAAAAGTTGTGCAAAACGACATAACGGATTAGGCGCCTTTCTTTAAGAAAATGCCTAGTAGCAATGCACACGCCATGCAACTCACGCCTTTATTACTAGCAAAATATAGGAAGCACTGCAATTTTTTGTTTCTCCCTGCTTGTTGGGTGAGAATATATATATATATATATATATATATATATATATATATATATATTTTTTAACGACCTAACTCCTGATGCCCAAGAGGAGTCATACGTACTTGAACTATAATACATGGAGACAATTACGCTATCGAATACATCGTTCTCTGACGCGTACAAGACCCAGGCGCATTTTGCACCTGAGGTCTGTAACAAGAGAAACCACACTCGAGCGTCGGCATGCTTGCCTGACCCACTCTGCGATGCCATGCGACACCATGTGCGATACGTTCGATCGCAGTCGCTCGCCACGTGTCCCTCGGCGACGGCCCTCCGCCCCCCCGCCGCACTGCTTCTCGTCCTTGCGGCGCTCGCCCTCGCCCTTTCCCGATGGCGCGCGCTTTCCGCGCCAACGCTGCTGTTGGCGGAACCTGCGCCAGGCGGGCTGGGGGAGCAGCGCGCAGGCGTGTGCGGTAGGGAGGCGGGCGGCGGTGCGAGCGAGGGGTTGCACGGCACGGCGGAACGACCGGTGCGGGGGAAGGGGAGTGAGGGGGAGGGGGAGGAGAGCAGAGGGGGGAGTGCGGTGACAGCGGAAGGGGCGAAAGTTGGGCGTGGGGAAGGCGACAGCGAGAATGGCGGAGAGAGCGCGGGCGGCGAGAATGCAGCAGAGAGCAATGCGGAGGAACTTCGGGCGCAGGCGGTAGCAACAGCAGCAGCGGCGGCGACGGCGGCGGCAGCAGCAGCAGGAGGGGTGGCGAGGCCACTGAGGTTGGTGGTGGTGCACGAGGCAGCGGCCGTGGGGGCTGGTGAGACGCTCCCTTGCGCTGTCAGGTGAATGGCGTGTGAGGTGCATGGCGTGTGAGGTGCAGTGCATCGCAGTCCTACATGCCCTTTCCCCTCACACACACTGCACTCTCCTCCCCTCACACACACTGCAATCTCCTCCCCTCACACACACTGCACTCTCCTCCCCTCACACACACTGCACTCTCCTCCCCTCACACACACTGCACTCTCCTCCCCTCACACACACTGCACTCTCCTCCCCTCACACACACTGCACTCTCCTCCCGTCACACACACTGCACTCTCCTCCCCTCACACACACTGCAATCTCCTCCCCTCACACACACTGGACTCTCCTCCCCTCACACACACTGCACTCTCCTCCCCTCACACACACTGCACTCTCCTCCCCTCACACACACTGCACTCTCCTCCCCTCACACACACTGCACTCTCCTCCCCTCACACACACTGCACTCTCCTCCCCTCACACACACTGCACTCTCCTCCCCTCACACACACCCTTGTGCGTGCCACGGCGTCCCCTCACCCCCTCCGTCCTGCCTGCCCCACAGTGTGTTTGGACGGGTCACCCCCGGCCTACTACTTCCGCCCGGCCCATGCAGGCGGCGCCCACAAGTGGTTCTTCCACTTCCAGGTCGCCCCCCTCTCCCCCCTTCCCCCCCCTCTCCCCCCTTCTCCCCCCTCTCCCCCCTTCTCCCCCCTCTCCCCCCTTCTCCCCCCTCTCCCCCCTTCCCCCCCCTCTCCCCCCTTCTCCCCCCTCTCCCCCCTTCTCCCCCCTCTCCCCCCTTCTGTTAGAAATAGTCAGTCAACACTTTGTACTATATTCTATATCGGTTAGGTTACTTTGTAGGTTGGGTGTAGATTTGTAATCCCAACCCTATCTGGTTGGGATTCCCTCGTAATCCTGCAAATCTGCCAACTCACCAATTGGAGATTTGCTAGAATTCCCATCCCATCCTTTCCCTAGCTTTGCTCAACCCAACCCTGTTTGTACTTAAGGCCTAGTGCCTTCCTTATCAAGCAATTAGTTCAGTTCCAATTCTATCACGGTATCGAGCTAGTAAATTCCGCTCACGCGGAATCCGATCCTTCGCGTCCCGATGGTTCTCTCCTTTTAGGCTATGCCTATTTCGGTTCCCGGCTCCTACGCTTAGCGTTTTTCAGAAACTTCACATCGTCGCTCCGGTCAAGCGCACATTCGGCTTCCTTCATCGCGCATCTCGTTTTTCAACGGCGACATTCTCAGCTTTCGACTTCCTTCATCGTAAGCTTCTGGTTTTTATATCTCCGTGGCAATTTTCGCATCTTCTTAATTTCGAACAGGTTTTCAGCGGCGCAGCGGAACAGGTCCAGCGGCGCAGCGGAACAGGTTTTCAGCGGCGCAGCGGAACAGGTCCAGCGGCGCAGCGGAACAGGTTTTCAGCGGCGCAGCGGAACAGGCTCAGCGGCGCAGCGGAACAGGTTCAGCGGCGCAGCGGAACAGGTTCAGCGGCGCAGCGGAACAGGTTCAGCGGCGCAGCAGAACAGGTTCAGCGCAGCAGAACAGGTCCAGCGGTGCAGCAGAACAGGTCAGCGGCGCAGCAGAACAGGTCAGCGGCGCAGCAGAGAAGCGGAACAGGGGCAGCAGCGAAGCAGAACAGGGGGCATTGGCGAAGCAGTATATCAGGGTATAGTACGGGCATTCTATTGCCAAAATCGCGTTTCGAACTTCCTCAATTTCCAAAATCACCCGAACTCCGCTCCGCTTCGCTCCGCTACGTATCGGAGACTTTAGCGCTGCGCTCCACGCGAAATGGCAACTTCAACTTCCACTCTCGTCGGAAACCTCATCATCCTTAACCTCGCTCCCAACGGCACGAGCACCAATTTCGGGGAGTGGTGCTATGGAGTGGAGAAGCACCTCCTTAGCTCGGAGCTCAAGGGGATTTACCTCAAGGACATCCTCCTCAATCGCGGCAAGGGGAAGATGCCTCTCCCTCCCGATCCTCTCGGCGAAGGCGCCACTGCCACAGCCAAGCTTGCTTTCGACGCTAAAACCACCAAGTATGAGACGGACTTCAGTCTCTGGGAGCAGGCGGATGCGGCAGTGATTAGGGTTTTCATCACCACCACCCCAGTCGAGTTAGTCAAGTCCTACCGCACCTTCCGCTCTGCGCATGACATTTGGAAGTACCTCCAGGATGGCTTTCATGACAAAACTGCCGTGGGAGTTGCAATCCTCATTCCTCGCATGTTCCAAATCCGCCTTGAGGAATGCCCGGGCATGGCAGACTACATCTCTGAAATCCGCAACATCCATGAGGAGCTCAAGGACATTGGGATCACCTTCCCCGAACAGGCACCTGCTGCTGGGCTTCTCGTCGGACTCACCCCGGCCTACAACGTCACCAGTTCCATGCTCAAGCAGCTCCCCACCAAGGAACTCACCTTCGAGAAAGTCGCTTCGGCCCTTCTCTCTGCCGAAAAGGACCTTGCAGCCCAGGCATCCGTCAATGCTGTGCGCTACTCCCCTGGCATCCCATTTCGTTCCCAGCAGGGCCAGAGGCGCGACTCCTTTCCCCCATGCCAGTACCTCATTAGGAAGGGTCCATGTGCGGGGCAGAAATGCAACGGCACCAACCACCCTGAGGCAACTTGCTTCAAGAAGCGAGATGACGAGTGGTATGACGTCCACGGTGTCTCCAAGGACAAGCGCCCTCCCAACTGGGCACCACCCCGTCGCGTGAACCAGGTCGAGGCAGTGGAGGAACCTGCTCAGGCATTTGCTAGTGCCCCATCTGATGTTCGCCTTAACCTGTTGTTCTCTGGTGCTGGTCTTCTTAATGAGAAGGGGTCGCAGTACATCGGTGTTTCAACCACACAGGGAATTGAGTTCATACTAGACAGTGGTGCCACCCACATAGTGCTTAAAGACCAAACTGCCTTCGTTCCCTACCAGGCTCCCACCTCACTCCTTGGAGCCGATTCTAACTTCTCCATCCAATGCCATGGGTCCTCCACAGTTTCCTGTCCAGCTTTCCCATCCGGCACAGTCACTGGCATCTGTGCCCCTACCCTCCGCTACAACCTTCTTGCATAGCGGGAAATCCAACACGCAGGCGTGATCACGATCTTTCCCAATGATGTTGACTACTGTGACATGTTTGACGCCAAAACCGGACTCCATCTTGCCCGCTTCACCCTCAACTCCAACAACCTGTACACACTAGTTGTACCTCCCGTTCAAACATGCTCCCTCACCAACCTTCCGCTTCCATCCTCAGACTCCCCCTCATGTCACTGCCGCCTCCTCAATGACAAGACTATGCTATTTCATAACCGCCTCGGCCACATCAACTTCCGCGCACTTTCAGACCTTGCCACCAAACAACTCCTTCATGGGCTGCCCGCCTCACTTCCACAACCCCCCTCTCTTTCTGGACCACCTTGCCTTGACTGTGCACAGAGCAAGCTTCGGGAACAGCCCCATCCTCCCACTGAGTCCACCTCTACCGCACCTCTTGATCGCGTACACATGGACCTTTGGGGTCCAGCTCCTGTTCGTTCCCGTGGCGGACACTTCTACTTCCTTGTCATCGTTGATGACTATTCCCGCTATGTGTCCGTTCACCTTCCAAGTCTGAAGCCCCAGCCATTATCATGGAATGGGCAAGGCAGGCTCATTCACACTTCAAAACCAAAATCAAGATTCTTCACTCTGACGGTGGCGGTGAATTCCGCAACAACACTCTCAAAACTTTCTGCTCTACTGAGGGTATTCGTCAGACCTTCACCCTCCCAGACAGCCCTCAACAGAACGGTGTTGCTGAGAGCCGAAACCGCATCCTGGTGCAGATTGCTCGCTGCCTCCTCACTCATGCTTCCGCCCCTCCCTCTCTTTGGGGATACGCCATGCTCCATGCTGCCGCCCTCCACAATCTCCATCCTCATCCTGACCACACCCACACCACCCCCGCAGAGCTGTGGACGGGTCAAAAGCCGTCCGTCCGCCCTCTTCGTGTATGGGGGTGCACTTCCTATGTTCTCCTCAACTCCCAAGCCCGTCGTGCAGCTGGCGGCAAGCTTGCTCCGAAAACAATCACTTGCGTGTACCTCGGGCACAACTCGGACTCGCCAGACTACCTCTTCCTCCATCCTACCACCAACAAACTTTATCGCAGCCGAGATGTTTTCTTCGATGAATCCCACCCGTTCTACCCCTCCTCCACAGTTTCTCCTTCTCCTCCGCCTCCTTCTCTTACTTGGGCTGACTTTGACAGCCTTCCTCCTGCCACCACTCCATCTCCTCCTCTTCCTGCTCCCTCCACAGTTTCCGACCCCCCGTCACCCGCTTCCCCTTCCAGCACCACGCAGTCTCCCCCGCTCCTTCCCGCCCCCGAGCCCATTCCTCTCAAAACCTACCAACGCCGTCCTCCTGCTGCTGCTCCTCCTCCTGATCCAGCTCCTGCTCCTGATCTCCCCCTCCAGCTCCGCCTCCCTCCCCCATCGCTGGTCGCACCCGCTCGCGCAAAGCTCCCAAGCCTCTTTCCCTTTCCATTTGTGTCTCTCTCAATCCTCCTCCTGTCGGGGGTGATTATTCGCTCATGCCCTCCCTTCTTGAGGACAGACATGAGGAGTTGATTGAGATTGACTCAGCCATACACGCACTCTGCTCCCTCTTTCCAGATATCGCAGAATCTCCCACCCTCGACTTCTCGGACAACCCCTCCATCCCCACACCTCTCACCTATGCTGAAGCAATTTCTGGTCCTCACGCCGCTCAATGGCTAGGGGCCATTGTCGCAGAGTGTGAGGCCTTCATTCACACAGGAACTTTCACACATGTCTCTCCTCCCTCCGGCGTCAACATTGTGAAGGGAAAATGGGTTTTCCGGGTGAAACAACTTCCAGGCGAATTTCCCGTCTTCAAAGCCCGGTACTGTGCCAAGGGATTTACCCAAAAGCATGGACTGGACTTCTTTGAGACATTCTCTCCCACCGCCAAACCTCCCACACTGCGCACCCTTCTCGATGTTGCCGCTCGAGATGACATGGAGGTTGACTGCATGGATGTGTCCTCTGCGTTTCTGCAAGGGATCCTTCGAGAGGAAATCTACATGGAGCGGCCCGAAGGATTTCCAGCTCCTTTTCCACCAGGCACTGTATGGAAGCTGAATCGACCAGTCTATGGCCTCAAGCAAGCACCCCGGGAATGGCACAACAAGCTCAAGAGCACCTTAGGGTCCCTCGACTTTCACCCATCCACCTCTGACCCCAGCCTCTTCATCCGAGCAACACCATCCTGCTTCTTCATCTTGGTTTATGTCGATGACATGATCCTTGTCACCAAGGATCAGACTGAGCTGGCAGCAGTCAAAACCGCACTTGGTGAGAAGCTGGCTATGAAGGATCTTGGGAAACTGACGAACTATCTGGGCATGGAAATCACACGTGATCGCACGGCCCGCACCATCACCCTCTCGCAGAAGTTCTACATCAACAACGTTCTGACCAGGTTTAAGATGCAGGAAGCAGCTTCAATGCCCACCCCACTCTCTCTGCAGCACCAACTCACTGCACCCTCTGTTCCCTCACCTGAGCCCTGTGATGAGGCTTACCCCGAGCTCGTCGGTTCCCTCATGTACGCGATGATGTGCACTCGACCAGATTTGGCCTATCCAGTCAGTGTCCTGTCTCGCTACGTTGCACCTGGTCGCTTCACGAGCCACCACTGGTCTGCCGCCAAGCGGGTCCTCCGCTATCTCAAAGGCACACAGGACTATGTGCTCACTCTTGGCGGCTCTTCCCCTGTTCGCCTTGAGGGGTACAGTGACTCGTCCTATGCTGATGACCAGAGTGATCGGCGCTCTTCCCAAGGATATTGCTTTACCCTTGGCAGTGGGGTTGTCAGTTGGCGCTCCACTCGGTCGTCTTCCGTCTCACTGTCGACCTGTGAGGCAGAGCTGTATGCCGGGACCAGGGCTGCCCAAGAGGCCCGTTGGCTCTCCTTCTTGCTGGCAGAACTTGTATCCTCAACCAGCCCCAACGCTTTGGTGTGACAACGAGAGCACCATTCATCTCACAAAGGACCCCGTCTTCCACGGCCGCACCAAGCACATTGAGGTCCGTCACTACTTTCTTCGTGAGCTGGTGCAGCGCGAGCAGCTGAAGGCTGAACACATTGCCTCCGACTGCAACCTTGCTGACTTGTTTACCAAGTCTCTTGTTCGCCAAGACCACTACCGCCTCCTCTCGTCCATGGGTGTTGGGCCGCCATGTGGCTGAAGTGTTGTCAGCCTAGGGGGTGTGTTAGAAATAGTCAGTCAACACTTTGTACTATATTCTATATCAGTTAGGTTACTTTGTAGGTTGGGTGTAGATTTGTAATCCCAACCCTATCTGGTTGGGATTCCCTCGTAATCCTGCAAATCTGCCAACTCACCAATTGGAGATTTGCTAGGATTCCCATCCCATCCTTTCCCTAGCTTTGCTCAACCCAACCCTGTTTGTACTTAAGGCCTAGTGCCTTCCTTATCAAGCAATCAGTTCAGTTCCAATTCTATCACCTTCTCCCCCCTCTCCCCCCTTCTCCCCCCCTCTCCCCCCTTCCCCTCCCCTCTCCCCCCGTCTCCCCCCCGCTCCACCCTTCTCCCACCCAGTCCCCCCCTCTCCCCCCTTCTCCCCCCTTCTCCTCAACTCTCTCCTCCTCTTTCTCTCCCACTCCCCTCCTCTTTTCCCCTCCCTCTTTCTCTCCTTCTCCCCCCCTCTCTTCCACCTCTCCTCCCTCTCTTTCCCCTCTGTCACTTCCCCGCTGCCCGTTCTTAACGGCTGCTGGCCATGCCATGCCATGCCATGCCTGCCGTGCTGCTTGGCCTTGCTAGACCTGCCATGGTGGGAATTCACCGGCATGTAATCGATGCAATTTAGTCGAGATTTGATCTTCTGGGAACGCTAGTTGAGTTCTAGTCACCCCACCTTCAAGTCACTCCACTTTCCCACGCATGCTTGCTTGTTCGCACATGTGGGGAGGGGGTAGCATGGGCGTGGAGGGGGGAAGGATGGGCGTGGTGGGGGGAGGGATGGGCGTGGAGTGGGGAGGGATGGGCGTGGATTGGGGAGGGATGGGCGTGGAGTGTGGGGGGTATGGGCGTGGAGTGTGAGGGGTATGGGCGTGGAGTGTGGGGGGTATGGGCGTGGAGTGTGGGGGGTATGGGTGTGGAGTGTGGGGGGTATGGGTGTGGAGTGTGGGGGGTATGGGTGTGGAGTGTGGGGGGTATGGGTGTGGAGTGTCGGGGGTATGGGCGTGGAGTGTGGGGTGGGGCGGTATGGGTGTGCACAGGGTGGGGCGTGGTGCAGCAGTGGGGAGGAGTGTCGGCAGCGCAGCCTCACAGCACTGGGGTCGTCCCGCCTGCTACCCGCCACTGCTGATGCTGAGGGCGTGTTCAGTGACGACCCCGCCATCAACCCAGGTGCGTTGCTCCGCCAACCCACGTTGCGCACGTTGCTGTTCACGCCTGCTGTGATTTGAGCATGCACGTGGCTCTACCCGTTTCTGCACCTACCCAATTGATGTGCACGGAAGAACCCGATGGTGTGTATGCACCCGTGTTCATGCATGCATGCATGCACCGTGGCATGTACGCATGATGGCGTGCATGCATGCATGAATGCACCACGCCAGGCATGCACGAGTGGAACATGGTGAAGCTCGCTTACTGTGATGGCGGGTCCTTTGCTGGCCACCGCACCCACCCTCTTCCCGTTCAGGTCAGTGCAGGTCAGTGCGGTTCAGTGCAGGTCAGTGCGGTTCAGTGCTGATGAGCAATTCTTGCCATGCCTTCGATCCATGCATCATCTGCTAAAGCGACCCTTCTGTGACGCTTCATGTGCATCTGCCATCTCTCCCTCTCCTCTCACCACTCACCGCTGCTGCCCATCGCTACTTCCACGACCGGCAGGGAGGCAGCATCTTCATTCGTGGGCGAGCCATCCGCGATGCCATCTTTGACCACCTGCAGCACCGACTGGCCCACGCACAGCAGGCAAGCAGCACCGACTGGCCCACGCACAGCAGGCAAGCAGCACCGACCTGGGCGTGCTCTGCACTCATGTGCCAATGTACAGCAGGCACGCACTCACCTGTGAATGTGCCCTTGCATACGTGTTTCTCTTGCCATACTGCACACACACACATACACACACATACACACACACACACACACACACACACACACACACACACACATGCAGACCCACCTCCAACCCCTCCCGCAATTCCACCCACACCATTTCCACCTGCACCTAATCTCAACCCCATTTTCACCCACGCCCACACACGAACCTGCACCCTCACGCCTAACCCCAACCGCACACCCACACACCCACACACCCGCACACCCACTCACCCACACACCCACACACCCACAAACCCACACACCCACACGCCCACACACCCGCACACCCACACACCCACACACCCGCACACCCACACACCCACACACCCACACACCCACACACTCACACACCCGCACACCCGCACACCCACACACCCACACACCCGCACACCCACATACCCACACACCCACACACCCGCACACCCGCACACCCACACACCCACACACGCGCACACCCACACACCCACACACCCACACACCCTCACATCCACACACCCACACACCCACACACGCGCACACCCACACACCCACACACCCACACACCCTCACATCCACACACCCACACACCCGCACACCCGCACACCCACACACCCACACACCCGCACACCCGCACACCCACACACCCACACACCCACACACCCGCACACCCGCACACCCACACACCCACACACCCACACACCCGCACACCCACACACCCACACACCCACACACCTGCACACCCGCACACCCACACACCCACACACCCACACACCCTCACATCCACACACCCACACATCCACACACGCGCACACCCACACACCCGCACACCCGCACACCCGCACACCCGCACACCCACACACTCCCCTCCGCTGTGCCACCAGGTGGTGGTGTCGGGGTGCTCTGCCGGCGGGCTGCCGCCTTCTTCCCCGCCCTCCCCCCCTCTGCCTACGCCTGCCTGCCCGATGCTGCCATCTTCCTCGACAGGTGCCTCCCCCTATAACACACCCACGCGCCCCTCCCCCACACACTCGCACACCCACACACCCACCCCCCCCCCCCCCCCCCCCCTCCCTCTCCCCCCCTCGTCTCCCTCTGCACTGCGACCACATCCGTCCTGCCCTCACCCCCTCGGCCTTCGCCTGCCTGCCAGATGCCGCCATATACCTTGACAGATGCCCCCCTCCCTGGCACTCACATGCGCCTCCCCACCTTCTCAGTTGCGTTCCTTCCATCCACAGACAACACACTAAGAAATGTTCAATCTAATCATTCTATTGGAGTACTTTCCAAATAACATACTTTCTTAGTATGTAGAGGGTTTCACACCTGGTTGCTCATGTTGATAGAATTGGAACTGAACTGATTGCTTGATAAGGAAGGCACTAGGCCTTAAGTACAAACAGGGTTGGGTTGAGCAAAGCTAGGGAAAGGATGGGATGGGAATCCTAGCAAATCTCCAATTGGTGAGTTGGCAGATTTGCAGGATTACGAGGGAATCCCAACCAGATAGGGTTGGGATTACAAATCTACACCCAACCTACAAAGTAACCTAACCGATATAGAATATAGTACAAAGTGTTGACTGACTATTTCTAACACACCTCCTAGGCTGACAACACTTCAGCCACATGGCGGCCCAACACCCATGGACGAGAGGAGGCGGTAGTGGGCTTGGCGAACAAGAGACTTGGTAAACAAGTCAGCAAGGTTGCAGTCGGGAGGCAATGTGTTCAGCCTTCAGCTGCTCGCGCTGCACCAGCTCACGAAGAAAGTAGTGACGGACCTCAATGTGCTTGGTGCGGCCGTGGAAGACGGGGTCCTTTGTGAGATGAATGGTGCTCTCGTTGTCACACCAAAGCGTTGCGGCTGGTTGAGGATACAAGTTCTGCCAGCAAGAAGGAGAGCCAACGGGCCTCTTGGGCAGCCATGGTCCCGGCATACAGCTCTGCCTCACAGGTCGACAGTGAGACGGAAGACGACCGAGTGGAGCGCCAACTGACAACCCCACTGCCAAGGGTAAAGCAATATCCTTGGGAAGAGCGCCGATCACTCTGGTCATCAGCATAGGACGAGTCACTGTACCCCTCAAGGCGAACAGGGGAAGAGCCGCCAAGAGTGAGCACATAGTCCTGTGTGCCTTTGAGATAGCGGAGGACCCGCTTGGCGGCAGACCAGTGGTGGCTCGTGAAGCGACCAGGTGCAACGTAGCGAGACAGGACACTGACTGGATAGGCCAAATCTGGTCGAGTGCACATCATCGCGTACATGAGGGAACCGACGAGCTCGGGGTAAGCCTCATCACAGGGCTCAGGTGAGGGAACAGAGGGTGCAGTGAGTTGGTGCTGCAGAGAGAGTGGGGTGGGCATTGAAGCTGCTTCCTGCATCTTAAACCTGGTCAGAACGTTGTTGATGTAGAACTTCTGCGAGAGGGTGATGGTGCGGGCCATGCGATCACGTGTGATTTCCATGCCCAAATAGTTCGTCAGTTTCCCAAGATCTTTCATAGCCAGCTTCTCACCAAGTGCGGTTTTGACTGCTGCCAACTCAGTCTGATCCTTGGTGACAAGGATCATGTCATCGACATAAACCAAGATGAAGAAGCGGGATGGTGTTGCTCGGATGAAGAGGCTGGGGTCAGAGGTGTATGGGTGAAAGTCGAGGGACCCTAAGGTGCTCTTGAGCTTGTTGTGCCATTCCCGGGGTGCTTGCTTGAGGCCATAGACTGGTCGATTCAGCTTCCATACAGTGCCTGGTCGGGGAAGGTGATCCCAATGTCCTTGAGCTCCTCATGGATGTTGCGGATTTCAGAGATATAGTCTGCCATGCCCGGGCATTCCTCAAGGCGGATTTGGAACATGCGAGGAATGAGGATTGCAACTCCCACGGCAGTTTTGTCATGAAAG